AGAGAACCTGTGGAGGGAGTTGAAAGTCTGTGTTGCCTAGCAACAGCCCCAAAACATCCCAGCTCTAGAGAAGATCTGCACAGAAGAATGGGCCAAAATAGCAGCTAGTGTGTCTGACCTGGTGGAGACCCACCGCTGTCATTGCTAACCGAGGTTACATTACAGAGTATTAAAGTAAACTTTTATTGGCCAAATACTCATTTTCTGCACCGCTGGACAAATAAATCCTTTAGAAATGATAACAGGTGAATTCCTGGAGTGTGTTACGTTCTGTCCACCACAGTAAAAGTGAACCTATGATGAAAATAAAGACCTCTCATGTGTTTAAGTAAGACCATTTACACATCAGCGGCTGCCAGATACTTCCATGTTAATCTCAGAAAAGTTGCTAAATGTGTCGCAGCTGCATTCAGAACTTGGTAAAGCTGCATTTGCTCCACCTCTCGACTGCCAAAGTGGGAGACAGGCTGGGCATTTCTGAAGCAATAAGGTCAAGTTGTACCTATTTAACAGTGTGTGCTCTAGTGACCTCCGACCAAAACGACATTACGATTTATTAAGAATGTTAGCTTCCTGAGCAGTCCCTTAACAGACCGGTGTCCGGCGACTGTAGCAGAGGAGACCATTTACCATGTACATTTTAATTCGGAAAAGGGTAGAATGCCTTCTCCGGGTCAGGGATGAGGTCCTGCCCCAAGTGGAGGAGTTTAAGTATCTCAGGGTCTTGTTCACGAGTGAGGGAAAACTGGAGCGTGAGATCGATAGGCGGATTGGTGCTGCATCTGCAGTGATGCGGGTGTTGTACCGGTCTGTCGTGGTGAAGAGAGAGCTGAGTCAGAAGGCGAAGCTCTCGATTTACCGGTCGATCTACGTTCCTACCCTCACCTATGGTCATGAGCTCTGGGTAGTGACTGAAAGAACGAGATCACGGATACAAGCGGCCAAAATGAGTTTTCTCCGAAGAGTGGCTGGACTCTCCCTTAGAGATAGGGTGAGAAGCTCGGTCATCTAGGAGGGGCGAAAGGAGCCTGTTGAGGTGGCTCAGGCGTCTGGTCAGGATGTCTCCTGGACGCCTCCCTGGTGAGGTTTTCTGGGCACGTCCAACCAGGAGGAGACCTAAAGGAAGACCCAGGACACGGTGGAGGGACTATGTCTCTCACCTGGCCAGGGAACGCCTTGGGATTCCCCTGGAAGAGCTGGCCCAAGTGGCTAGGGAGAGGGAAGTCTGGGCCTCTCGCCTTAGGCTACTGCCCCGCGACCCGAGTCCGGATAAGCGGATGAAGATGGATGGATGGATGGATGGATGGGTGACCAGATCTCTTATGGATCAGTGAAAAAAAACATGTTCTTGCAGATTGTAAACAGATAATCATCAGTTTGAAGTTTTCGCTCCAGCTACATACCTACTGGGCGGGGGTTGGAAGGTTCAGGAATTTCACAGCTCCCATTTTATGTGTGAACGTCAGGCCAAAGCGACGATTAAACCTTTGCATTTTCTCAAAAGTTTGGACTTGTCAAAGGCAGGAGTTTTATGACTGGGATCCATCGTTTCCACGTCCCTGCTCAGATCTAATAACTACGACCTCATTCTGCCAGCTCCATCTCAACCACTGCAGCTGAGCTGAGGTCAAAGCGGTGCTTTTTCCTGCCGTGGACAGATCGTGACGGTGGTGGTGAACGTGTCCATACGTTTGCTTTCTCTGAACAGTGTTCGTGTTCATTCATATTTGTTATTGAAAGGACGAAAGAACACAGGAAACCATTTAGGACACATCGTGTGTGAAATGGGAGTTGTTCGGTCTCCTCTCTGGCTAGTGGTTAGTCAGACCAAGTGGCCAGGTCATGTGGCTTCAACTCTACCATCTACAGGTGCTGGCCAGTAAATTAGAATATCATCAAAAGGTTGAAAATATTTCAGTAATTCCATTCAAAACGTGAAACTTGTACATTATATTCATGCAATGCACACAGACCAATGTATTTCCGATGTTTATTACGTTTAATTTTGATATTTATAGGTGACAACCAATGAAAACATCAAATCTGGTATCTCAGAAAATTTGAATATTCTAAAGGCCAATGAAAAAATGTTTGTTTCTCTAATGTTGGCCAACTGAAAAGAATGAACATGAAAAGAATGTGCATGTATAGCACTCAATACTTAGTCGGGGCTCCTTTTGCCTCAATAACTGCAGTAATGCGGCGTGGCATGGACTCGATCAGTCTGTGGCACTGCTCAGGTGTTATGAGAGCCCAGGTTGCTCTGATAGTCGTCTTCAGCTCCTCTGCATTGTTGGGTCTAGCGTATTGCATCCTCCGCTTCACAATACCCCATAGATTTTCTATGGGGTTAAGGTCAGGCGAGTTTGCTGGCCAATCAAGGACAGGGATACCATGGTCCTTGAACCAGGTGCTGGTGGTTTTGGCACTGTGTGCAGGTGCCAAGTCCTGTTGAAAGGTGAAGTCTGCATCCCCATAAAGTTGGTCAGCAGCAGGAAGCATGAAGTGCTCTAAAACTTCCTGGTAGACGGCTGCATTGACCCTGGACCTCAGGAAACAGAGTGGGCCAACACCGGCAGATGACATGGCACCCCACACCATCACTGACGGTGGAAACTTTACACTGGACCTCATGCAACGTGGATTCTGTGCTTCTCCGCTCTTCCTCCAGACTCTGGGTCCTTGATTTCCAAAGGAAATGCAGAACTTGCTTTCATCAGAAAACATAACTTTGGACCACTCAGCATCAGTCCAGTCCTTTTTGTCCTTGGCCCAGGCGAGACGCTTCTTGCGCTGTTTCTTGTTCAAGAGTGGCTTGACACACGGAATGCGACACCTGAATCCCATGTCTTTCATGTGTCTCCTCGTGGTGGTTCTTGAAGCGCTGACTCCAGCTGCAGTCCACTCTTTGTGGATCTCCCCCACATTTTTGAATGGGTTTGTCGTCACAATTCTCTGCAGGGTGCGGTTATCCCTAGAGCTTGTACACTTTTTTCTACCACATTTTTTCCGTCCCTTCGCCTGTCTGTTAATGTGCTTGGACACAGAGCTCTGCGAACAGCCAGCTTCTTTAGCAATCACCTTTTGTGTCTTGCCCTCCTTGTGCAAGGTGTCAATGATTGTCTTTTGGACAGCTGTTAAGTCAGAAGTCTTCCCCATGATTGTGGTGCCTTCGAAACAAGACTGAGGGACCTTTTAAAGGCCTTTGCAGGTGTTTTGAGTGAAACAGCTGATTAGAGTGGCAGCAGGTGTCTTCTATATTCAGCCTTTTCAGAATATTCTAATTTTTTGAGATACCATATTTGGAGTTTTCATTAGTTGTCACTTATGAATATCAAATTTAAATGTAATGAACATTGGAAATACATTGGTCTGTGTACATTGCATGAATATAATGTACAAGTTTCACGTTTTGAATGGAATTACTGAAATATTTTCAACCTTTTGATGATATTCTAATTTACTGGCCAGCACCTGTATGGCTCCTGGTTGTTGTTGAACACGGCTGAACAAGTCCTCGCTGTGCTCTAGTTTGTCTTTCATCCACAACCTTTGAACAGATTCTGATTCTTGTGCTTTTATAATCGAACATAACTTTATGGATGGTTGGGATTGTGGCCAAGCTGCCCGTGACCTGGCAACATGAATAAATGTTGAACCGGTGTTGATATTAGGAAATGGACAGATTGGACTCAGAAGTTTAATGATAACTGAATACCAGGTAGAATCCAGAGACATGGTGTCCGGTTGTGATCTTCTATCCTTACATGTATGAGCATCACATTTAACAACACGATAGATCAGATGTTAAGATGAACGCCAGGTGGGAGGGGCTTTTCTCTCCACCATCCATCTCTGGAATCAGCTGCAGCACATCCAGCAGCGAGAGCCCTGACATGCCGACCCCAATTTAAATTGACATCCGTGACCCCCATCGCTCACGTCTCCTTTGTCACCCATTAGCACTTGTAGAGTTCCAACTCGGGCTCGCGCGCTGGGCAGTTGGTCGCCGCAGCTATGCTCTTCTTCTCTTCTTCATCCAGAACAGGAATAGAGCAGATCTCCATCACCGAGGCTTTCATCTGAGACGTCCTGAACTCAGGATGCAACTTAGTGTCTCTAGTTTACAGACAACAGCTGTTTCCTATCAGAGATGTTAGACACAACTAACCAAACATAACCAGCTGGTCATGCCTCTATGACGGTAACCAGCTCAGATCCTCTCTTCTTTCTTGTCTGTGTATAAAAGTTCTGATGGAGTGGGTCCACGTCAGAACCAGTCCCTCCTTGGTTCTGTCATTTGGCTTCGTTCTTCACTGAAACATGAAGCTGTGTCTGGTTAAGAGTCCTAACTAAACTAACTAGGTTATCTGCTGACGCACCATCATCTGCTGCAGGTCATCAGGAGAAACTGATGTTTCCAGACATTTCTCATTTTGTTCCCAAGTTTCAGTAACAAGGAGATCTGTGACTTAACCCTCCCACTGTCTTCATGGGTGACCCCGCGAGGAAAGTTGACCATTGAGCAGGATGGATGGTTTATCCCTTGAGGTCCACAGCAGGGGTGAGGTGGTGCTCACTCCTCACCCCTGCCACGTGGACCTCAAGGGATAAACCATCCATCCATGAAGACAGTGGGAGGGTTGTAGGTCAGCAGGTCACAGGCTGGTACAATGTCCTGTCTGGAGCTCAGAGTTGGACTCGGTTGAAGAAGATCAATTTAGATTTTAATGCCTTAAACAATTATCGACCGGTATCTAACTTACCATTTTTAAGCAAAATTTTAGAAAAGTTGGTTTTAAATCAACTAAATTATTTTATAAACACTAATAATGTCCTAGAGAAATTTCTGTCTGGTTTTAGGGTGAACCACAGAACCGAGACGGCCCTTCTGAAGATTTTAAATGATTTTAGAGTAAATTATGACAAACGGAAGGTGACTGTGTTGGTTCTACTGGATCTAAGTGCTGCCTTCGATACAGTAGACCACACCGTCCTTT